TATGTATTTTTCTCTAAACTCAAGAATTTTTGTGCTTCAGCTGTTTGCGTTCAGTTTCTCAAATGCTTGAATGCGCGTTGCCCGCCCGCCTATTTATCGCATAATATGTACACATCCATACTTTTGCATAAAAATATCTAGATATTTTTACATACTGTACATAAATTTATATATAATATATGTACATAGTGTGTATAGAGAGCGGTGCTTAGCCAGTTATATATATGTGTATGGTATATGTATATTACAAATATTGCTATCAAGTTGAGTTGGGCAGCCGATTGCTTGGGCATAGCGTGCGTCTCGACAGTTATTGTTGAACCATCGAGACTGCGCGAAAAATTGAGTGAAATCCCCTTTATGCTTCAGGAAAATACACACACCAATATTTGATATGCTTTTTATTTCTACATGCATATGTACATATGTGTGTGTTTTGTTGTAGAAATAAATTTAAAATTGTTGTAAGCAATACCCACTCGCATACACACTTGCGCAGTTCGACAACATCAAAAATAATTACTTGCCGTTAACAATTAATGTTTACCAGTTTAACACAATTATTTGTACACCAACACAGGCACGAAACAAGTTTTGAGATGTTAAAAAATTACACAATTAGCGGTTGAAACACAAGCATTTCGGTGTTTGTACTTTAATCAATTATGTAGGAATTTTGTTGTGTTGCTGTAACTCTCTTGCATTGTAATGTTTATTAACTGCAACTACTCTTGAGCTAATTCTACGGCTTCGCCTTCTTGCTTTAAACGTAAATGAATTTGTTGTTGTTGTAACACCTGGCACCGGTCCTGAAATAATTTGCGAGAAGATATATAGTAATAATGAAGACAATCTTTGTTGCACTGTTAAGAGTCAATTTTTACTTTTTATTTTCGAATCTTTGCTATCACCAGTGAAATGCACAAAAATATATGTGTGTGCAAACATTTAGCCAAATATTCAGAATTTGTATGGGTTTTCACAAGAGGTGGCCTTCAGCTTCTTCAGCGAATTTTGTGTGTGAAAAATCCATGAACTGTTCTTTCACAACTCCGGCCGTTTTCGATGGATGCTCTCATACAAACACCTCAACCCACCCGATGGAACACCTACTTGACTGTCTGCTCCTCCCGAAAAAATTCATGATGCATCAAACAGCGAATATCGAAAAACAGTAAGCATCACCTGGATTTTTAAGCGGTTTTGGCGTGATTTTTTTCATTTCGGCTCGAATTTTTTCTTCCATTCCGATCATTCTTAAACTTATAAACCCATTACTCATCGCGTTTTATATCCAAACTCTCCACGAAAATTATTCGAATGGATTCACGTCGAGTCTTGGTATCTCTCTAAGGCTTTTTTGCCAATTTTGCAGCATAATATCCTTGAATTTTTTAATATTATATAATAATATTTTCATCAGTTGAAGAGCTCGAAGTCATTCAGAACGAGTCATTCAGAACGATCTCTCCACCGTCTTTGAAGGCTTTGTACCACTCGTAATCTTATGCTTTGAATCATCGTAAGCCTTTTCCAACATTCGCAATGATTCCACACACGAAATTTGGTCAGAAATATAAAATTTGAGACAAAATCGTTGTTCGATATTTTTATTCATTGTAAAATCACAAAACACTACTGAAGTGTACCGATTCAAACAGCTGCTGTAAACAAACTGAAATTAAGGGGGGACTGTCAACTTAGCAAAATACGTTTTTTTGAAATATAATTTACTTGGAGAATTTAATTGTAATTTCCGGTTGCTTTTTTGTTCCAATATATGTTTTATCTTTGTGTTTGGTATTCAAATAAACTATCCTAATTTAATTTTATAATCCAAATAAGAGTTGAAAATGACATTCTCGTCTTGTCATGCCTTCTATTCCTTTGAATCAGTAATCGGCGCTTTTTAGTAATCGATCAACAAATTTCTGTTTCACCACTAAGTGTCGGCACATTTTTTTGTTATAATAAATTGAGTCGCTCCATTAATCTCGTCGTAATAAGCAGTAGAAAGCAACACTTAATCTTGTTATTCAGTTCAACGTCATGGCCACTTGAATTGGTGAGTCACGCTGTCAGAATTCTCATCAATATAATGCTCACTCTGCTTCCACTTACTAATTAAAGAAAAAATAAGCAACTAAGTATTTGCCTATAAAAATGCATGTACAAACTTCTTTGCGTAATCCTACTTATATGGAAGTGCTGTCCCTTGGTGGTGGGGCGTTGCTGTCATTCCATAAACTGACAATTGACAGTGATAAGCAGCGTTCGTGTAAATAACATTGTGAGAGGGAGGAATAGTGTATGCCGCAGTGGCAATGCCATTACTCGTTGTACAACAAAAGTACTGAGCACAAATGGAGATATTTCAGTGGCGTTGAAAGTGAAATTTAATCCTGTTGCTTTGATGCATTTGAGTGATGAAATGATTTTTAAATAAAAATTATTTGCTTTCTGTTTACTTCAAGCAATTCTTGTTTGCTTCGTGTCAACAAAACTCCGTTATACAAACAATGTGTCCTGATCTTTGATTAACCCGCTAACATTATATTTTCTATCTAAGAACTTTCAGTTATAAAATGCATTGCCGCTGCGCTTGTGCCGTTGTGGGTAAGCCGTGTCGTTTATGTGACATTGACACACATTACAACAACAAATAAGCTTTCGCGAGTTTCACCTGTTAGCTTTCAATTTTTATCAACACAATTGCTATTGTTGCAATCAATCGCATTTGAACTTCACACATACTGAAAAATGTACAAACACACACACACATATACATTACACAAATTTATGTTACGTAAGCTGAACACAAAGTGAGTAGAAGAAACAACAATTGCATTGGCCACCAAATTACCCACAACAACAATAACAAAGAAAATTAACGATAATTACTTTCTGTACTATGTACGTCCGTGTGTGTGTGTATTTGTGTAAGTTTATGTGTGTAAATGAAAAGTGTTCTCCTTGCGCGCACGATCGATTGTGTGTGATCTCGCCTTGAAGAAGCCAATTTTCCATGCTATTTGCACACCTATTTATTCATTTTTTCATTTTTATTCTGATTTTTGTCTTGTTTAATTTAGAATTGTTCGATGTAATTGGCTACCAGTGCATATTGTGAACAAATGATCACCAGTCGCTGCCGGTGAATATGTGCACTTCTGATTTTATTCTCCCAACAAGAATATAATTGTGTTGGAAAATCGTTATTATTTCTTTTAAAGTGCAACTACTTTGAGAACAGTTAAATATGTATGAACATATTTTCAGAACCCAGTTAAAAATTGTGAAATGTCGTTCCTAGTTTACCGAAATTCGGTTTCTGATCAGATCAAAAAAAAACAAAAAAAAAAAATGCGGGTTCATTAGTTGCAGAATTATTTCAAGAAACACGTTTAAAGAAAAACTGATTAAGGGATTACTTGGGTTTCCTCGGTTAAATAAAACCTTTTTTAACAATTTTTCTCACATAAAAAATTAAATATTTTATAAAATTTTTATATTGTTATAAACATACACTATTAAGAAAGAAATTCTGAAAATTTGGGAAAAATATTTTAAACTCGGCCATTGTGACCCTGTTGGCAGGATAACTCCTTACAGTATCATCTAAAGTGAAAATATATTCGTTTTAGTTAAAACTTTAACTTAAAACTTGAACGAAGGAAAAAAAATTAAAATTGGACAGACATTTAAAAAAAAAAAATTAAAATTTCAGTGAAAATTTGGCGACATGCTTTTTTCCAAAAAGCTGTAATTGATAAAAAGTCCTTTGTTCGAGTCTTTAAGATTTGTATTTCAAAGACCTGTGTACAATTTCATGAAGATCGGTTAAGTAGTTCTCGAGAAATCTTGCCAACGGACTTCAAAAACATAGTTTCGAGAAAAACGCATTTAAAGACGTCGCACTTAACCTAGCTAACCTCGAGCGCACAAATTCTCAAGGCTGTATCTCAGAAACCATTACTCAAATCAACTTGAAAATTTAGGACAATATTCTAGGGGTGTTATAGAATTTAATAAGATAATGAAAAACAAATTTTTTTCAAACCCATAAGCCCATAAAATTTTTCGCTAATATTTTCTTCTTAGTATGAGTAAAACACACACCCATTCTAGCTTTATATACATTGCAAAAATATTCTAAGGAGCACGTGGAAGTGAAATGTATTGTACAAAGAAAACACTGAAGCAGCTTGGAGCGGATGTGCTATGCGCTATGCAAATAAAAAGTATTCAGTAAGTGCATAAGTGCAAAATGCATATGCATATACATATGTAGCATTATATGTCAGAATATTTGCGAATAAACGTCATTCCGCACATTTCCGACGTATTGACGATTATGTATTTTGACGCCGTCATTCGCTGTTCGCACAATGCAAGTCCGTCGAAACCATTTATGGCTGCCACATAGCTGAGAACGACAATAAGCAAATGCATGACAGAAATCTAAAAAAAAACTCCAATCTTATTGATTTTATGGAAATATAAACCAATAAATCTATTTAATTGAAAATAAGCGCAAAAAAATTTAGTTCCCGGTAAGGAACGTTTTTGCTGCTAATATCGAGTTGGCTATGCGTGCAAAGCACTGAATTTCCTCTTTTCTCCGTATGTCATTTGAGACACAAGTGTTTTCGTTTTCCCCTCATTTGGAGGCAACACTGATGGCTTCGTCTAGCTAATGTTAAACTGTGCAACTAAAACTATAAATTGTGGCACAAATTCTAAGAAGCTGCTAGCCGTCACTTTGCGCTCCTTTCCGCCCTCTCAATAAATTAGTTTCCAGCCGTGTTAGCTGGTTGCACAAATTATCCACCAACTGGCGAATATGGTGATTAGACGTGTATCACACTTTCTCCGTCTGTTGTCAATGTACTGTTTGGTGTTGTTGCATGCATACTTAATTTTTAATACAACTTATTTTTAGTTTTTGCTACTGCAGCCGTCTTGCAAATTCATGGTCAACCTTAAAATTTCCATTTCAGAAATCCATTCATACACGCCGATAGCCGTGCATAAGCGCTTTGAGAGCCGAGATTGTGCGAGTGTGCCAAGTGGCAGGCCAGTTGCTTGCCACATGCAACGCAGCAGGTCAATAAAAGTATATACACACCGGCATAGATGTAAGTATAAATATAAAACAATGTTACACATAAAAACCGATATCATATATCAGACCTCTAACTGAACGTGTGCGAAAGTGTGCGCATTAATGAAAATAAAAGCTAAACAAAATGAAAATGAAATTTCCTGACAGCAAAATTGCGCATAGTTCCATGCGTGCTTGTCTACATATTTATGTGGGCTCACTGTGTAAGCCGAACTGCTCGGAAAGTCTCCAAGCTTGCACAGTTGCCTCAACATTCGCGTTTCCCTCACGTCATTGTGCGTAAAAATCACAATTTTTCACCTCACTTGCAACGCAAGTCAAGTGGTATTGGTCGATGGTGGTTGCCTCTTGGCTGTTGCACGTTCGTTGGCAGGTTGCAATATTTACAGTGTGACATAAAAGTAGATAACTACATAATGTATAAAAAATACGTGAAAAGTTGAGTCGATTTAGCCATTTGAGTACTAGTACAGTTTTCCTCACCAAGAAGCTGCCCATTTTTTTGAGGTGCCAATATCGGACTGCTATAGAATATAACTGCCATACAAAATGATCGTTCAAAATGAAGTCCTTGCAAGGGAAAATATTTTTATTAGACAAGATTTATTCAAGGTATCAATTGACCAAGGCAAAGCTGCAATCTCGGATCCATTCAAATTAACGATCATACTCATACAGATCTTTATAAAATATTTTTTTCTTTATTAAATATCCCGAACTGAAGATGGCGGTTCATTTTATCTTCACCGAATATTACACTAACAATTGTAAACCTGAAAGAATTCAGAAATACTGCAAAGATAATTCGCTTGAAAGTATACTACCGTATGCTAAATTGCCGTCTTGTGGGGCAGGAATTTTATAACAATGCAAACAACTTCTCCAATTGTATCTTCCTTAATTGCATAGCGCATTCCATCCTTCAAAATTTAAAAATTTGGACGCAAACTTTTTAAAATCACTGTATCCTCGCGTCCGCAATCGATTTCTTCATACATATCGGCAATGGCAACGCCAATTCATTGCTGTCACGTCTACGAGTGCATTGCCTCATTGTTATCGTTGTTGTTTCATTTTACGTTTTGAGTGTGTATTTTTTTTTTTTTTTGATTACGCATTACTGCTGTGCTGCTGGAAATTTATGGATTTTGGTTTGTGTATTGACTAAGCAGTCACTGCTGTTGTACGTTGGCCATCTTGGGAAATTAGGCAGCCTTCTATACGCAAACAAACGCGCATAAATAAGCATTACAAGTCAATAAGCAACATTTATGTACTCTGGCAATCCTAAAGCGAACGCTCGTACTCTTATATGTAAATTGATTTACTTCCGTTTATTTGTACATTTGGAAGGGAAATTTTAATTGCAACAACCCCAATTTCAATGGCATCTACACCATTTTCAGTTGTTTCCAAAGGACAAACACATTTTACTTATGTCAGCAACTATCGAAATATGCGGGGGACTCCGTTCAATTCAATCAGCGCCGAGCTGTCAGTTGCCGCTGTCACGCACCAATGCGGCGTTAACAATGTCCAACGCCTGCTGCTATTTGTAGTGGTGTTTGCTTTTGCTTTGTTTACAAATGCACATAGGTATGTGTATTTGCTGTCTGCACTAGTCAACTGTTCGAATGCAGTTGAACGACAAACAGTCTGTTAGCCAGCAAGTTTCCTTTTCCCCACCATGCAATCCTCCTTTTGAAAGCTTAACATAAACACGTTATTAAATGTAAAAGTCTGATTTTACTTTCTTGTCTCGTTGCTGCCGTTTACCAGCACTGGGAACTCGTTTCTTTATTCATTTAGTGCATGCTTTCAGCAGTTGCTCTACTCGTTGCTTTATTAGTTGAAATAGGGATGTAAAGAAATCCTATCTGACAAAACAAAGCGAGTGCACGAGTTCAGCGAGCACAACAGTAATCTTCCAGTGCTTTGTTCCGTCCGCACCTGTGTGAGGAGAATGTTCCTTTGTTTGTTTTCAATTTCATTTGCTTACTAGTGATTAATGAAAGCAATGAGGAAAATTATGGAGTGAATTTATTTATGGCGTTGGAGAAATCTATCATTAAAAATACAATTATTTTCAAAATTAAAGTGCTTACATATATTTTAAGAATACAGATAAAAATTGCATATGAAGTCATACTTCTAATTTTGTTGGCACATTTTTTCTTTTTAAATTGTCATTCAGACAGAAGTAATTATTATTTAGTAGACTGAGTGTAGACCCGCCACTGCTAAAGCTAACTATCTATCACTGATTCTTATCAAAACGAAATTTTCACATATTCACTTTTATGGCTGTGTAGAATACCACCAGTCATTTTTTTATGAAAATTCTTAAAAAAATATTCAAATAAAAAAGTAATATTTATAAGTAAGCTTCATAGTAATGCTTTCATTGCATTAAACACGTACTACGTTTTAAAATTAAAGCATTTATCTTGCAACAATGTAATTTGCAACAAATGTATTTTCTTTGTAAGCTCAAGATAAATCTATAACAATTATACAAAAAAAAGTGACAGCAGTCTTTCCTTCCAGTGTCGGTAATGTGCATTACAAGTAGTTCGTGTACAATGATGCGGATAATGCTTGTGAGAAATGTCGTAGACAATGTCGACGAGCAATGCATCGCAGTGACACGAGTCAATGATATGGAAGCATAACAAAACTTACTTGATGATAGCATGAATCATCTCTTTGGCGAGACGAACTGCCAGTTAGACAAACAGACCGAGAGCGGGGTAGAGAGACAGGCAACTTGACAGGCTAACTGACTGCCTTTGTTGTCATCAACTTATGAGCTGTGTGCAACAGATCGGGTCAACAACACATCCGCCCGGCGTCTGTGCTCATTGCAAACGGAGCATTACACAGTCTCATAAATTCAAGTACATACATATATTTAAAGTATTACATACATACATATTTGCATATGCACAAAGACTATGTGGCAGTAAACTTAAAGGCATCTTAATTTAGTCAAATGTCTAATTGGCCCCCCACATACCCGTTCACCACAACCACACCCTGCGACATGTTATCCTCTGTCTTGCTGTAGACAGTTGAAAATGCATTTCATCATTTCTTTTGTTCACAAATGCGACTTATTGAGCTGAGACGAACGACCCGACAATTAATTAATGACCAGAGTACAATAGCATTTTAAGATGCGCTGGCCCATTCGCCAGTTGCTTTGCCTGGGTCTGGGTCGAATGAAGACACTGTGTGTGGTGCGGCGCGCGGCTACCATAACTAGAGTAGTACGCACTAATTGCATTTAAATGAATCATTTTGACAGTAATTACTACCACTCGAAAGTGTTGTTGCACAACAATGGCATTTCTGGATTCCGGACATGTGTTCGTAGATGAGCTTTCAAATCGGAAATGTTTTTCGCTCAGCTTATTTGTATTAATGACTGCCATAAATATACGAAGATCAGGGTTAAGCGGTAGCCACTATTTTGGTCATATCAATCTCAGTTACTCGTAGATCTCTTCAATTGTTGTACAAGTATCATTGCTTTTTAAGTGTGTAATTTGCCGCCTGCTTTGTATGTCCAATTTTGGTTGCGATCAATGTCGAATGTGAATGACGAGGACACTGATTGTGTATGAAGTAACTGTTTGAGGTAACAAACATACAAACATACGATACAAAATGTTAGTTGAGTTGTGAATTTTTCAATGTTTCCTAAAAATAAAAATATTATTTAATTTGTACGTGAAAAGTTCAGGTAATTTCCATTTTTGTCTTATGTGAGGAAAGTGTATAGGAAAGTGAAAGTTTAACAGTTCAAAGGGTTTACAAGGGTTATTTTGACACAGATCCGCGAAGTTCCCATTTCGAAGCGAAATGGCTGCTTCCAATTTTTTTTCGGGTTTTAATTTATTATAAATACTTTTAGTCTAAGCTCATAGCCTCTTGCAAGAGGTACGTCAATGCATCCCAACATTGTCTGCTTGTCTGTTTCTTTGGGAAACTTTGTGCTTTCTTATTCATTTAGCTTCATTCGTTTAAACAAATAAATAAAAACTTTAGTGTTATATATTATAAAAGTATCTACATTATCATTTCATTTCATATAAAACTAATTGTCTTAAATTTTTTATAAAATCATTTTCAATTGCTTATAAAATTTTTGCTTGCTTTTTTGTGTTTGCATAAGATTTTACTATTATTTAGCATAAAATTGAATTATCTATTCGCATATTACGAACTACACTGTATCTGTTTTCGTCGTCCGATCTATACAAATAGCTTCGTGCTAAATTATGTCATAGGCATTAATCATTAATTGCTTATTTATTAATTTTCGCTTTTATGCAAATTATTTATTATTATATTTACTTCTCCGCTACGTAATCTTCGATTATTTGCTTGAGTGTTTCACTCGGTGGACGCCGATTATCTTCGTTTGCTATTTTCCGTATTTTTATTTATTTATATCTACTTCCATAAATGTATCTACCATCAACATCTTTACTGGTTTCTGTTTTGAATGTTTTGTGAATGTAGTTTGATTTAAGATATTTTCGCCGAATAATTTGTGTGTCACAAGGCTCATCTATTATTTGACTTTCGTTTACTTGGTAATTAAGAAATTGGTGTGAAGTTCACCGATTCTACCAACAGGTGCCAAGGAATATGTAGCTTTTGGTCAAGGCTAATGTAACACTTTCATTTTTGTTGGGCTTGAACACTTGAGTTCAAATAAACTGATTGTTGTAAATTGGTGATATTAAAAAGATCATCACAGTTTGAGCAAATTCAACATGCATACTATAGTCATATCCTATATCTATAGTTTTGTTATCAATAATTTTTCAGCATAGTTGTAATTACAATTTTAATTGGCGTCCCAATACCAAATCTATTCCAGAATAATTTTTAATTATTAGGTCTACAACTTTGCTTCCGTCATAAATTTTTGTAAATTTAAGGCTTTATTGTATAACAAGTAAGGAAGGGCTAAGTTCGGGTGTCACCGAACATTTTATACTC